AAGGAATGGCATGAGACAGATAGTATGCAGAATATATTAAACGAAGGGCACGTTTTTGGAGTTTAAGGATTTTATCAATGTAACATTTGGCAGCACATCCCCATACAACAATAGCATAAGTTAGGTAAGGCAGCATATGGGACTTATAGATACTTATTAATGTAGAACTGGTACAAAATGACGCAGCCTAGCAATTATGCCAATTCGTTTGCTAAGATTAGAGGCGATGTACCCAATATGAAATTTCCATGAAAGATTTGAATCCATGAGAACACCGAGGTATTTAATGTAATTTTTAGTTGCTAGTGAGACGAATGTATTGGACTGTGCATCATACATTTTCAAATCTACCGCATAATCCTGCCGTTCTTGGTAAGAATGAAAAATAATGAAATTTGATTTTTTTATGTGTAGGGATAATTTATTAGCTGTTAACCAGTTATAGATATTAAGAAATTCAGTATTGACAATATTTTCTAGTGTTTTTAAATTCTTGTCAGCGTATAATAAATTGGTGTCATCTGCAAATAAGGAAAACGTCAGCTTATCAGAGGAGTTATAAATATCATATATATAAACTAAAAATAGTAGCGGTCCCAGGACAGAGTCCTGAGGAACGCCAGAAAGAGTTTCTTCTTTTTCAGATATATTTACACCCATTTGAATAGTTTGGACACGACCTAACAGGTAAGAGGAAAACAAATCGTTTATGATGCCTCTTATTCGATAATGATGCAATTTTTCTAAAAGTATTGAATAGTTTACAGTGTCAAATGCCTTTTGCAAATCAATAAAAATACCACAAGTAAACAATTTACGAGACATGTTAGATTGGATTTGATTTACTATATCTAAAATTGCATGCTGAGTTGAATATTTTTCCCGAAAACCATACTGAGATTTAAATATGATATTTTGTTTCTCAAGAAAAGATTTTAAACGATTATACATCAATTTTTCAAAAATTTTATTAAAGATTGATAAAAGAGATATTGGTCTATAATCAGAAGGATCGGTTTCATCATCCTTTTTGTAAATAGGGATAACTTTTGAGTGTTTTAATTTAGCTGGGTATTGGCCGCATTCAACCGATTTATTCATTAAATCAGATAAAGGATTCGATAAAACGTGTCTAGCGCATTTTAAAATACGAGTTGGGCATGAGTATAGGCCATGTGCCTTTTTCATTGGAATTAACATAATTTCTATTTCGATCTCGTGCGGCATGATAGGATTAAATTGAAACGATGCTCGGTTATTTATCTTTGGAAAGTAATTTGTGAATGGAATTTGTGAATTTGGCATTTTACTAGCTAAATTATGACCCACTGATGAAAAGTATTTATTGAATATATTTGGAAACTTACTTTCATCATATATAATTCTGTTGCTGATGGGACATTTTAAAGACGAGATGGGTCTAGTTGACTGTTTCTTCCGATTAATTAATTCGTTTATACCTTCCCAGGTCTTTTTAGCGTTGGCAAAGTTGTACTCAAAATAACTAAGATAATATTCCTTTTTACTCTGACGAGTGAGTGTTAAAATTTTGTTTGTATAGAATTTATATTTATCCTTATCACCGCGATTATATAACCTATTCTTAATTTTAATTGATTTCCTGATACCTTTAGTTATCCATGGTTTTGTTAACTGCTTTGCTTTACGCTTAGAAATGTTCTTAAGGGGAGCATGGTTTTTGATAACTGTATTTAACTTATTGTAAAATGTTGAAAACGATTTGTTTATATCATTTTCGCTCAAATCAACAGCATGATTCAAACCAGTACGGAGAGATTTTCGACTTTTGCAGAGATTTTCGACCTTTTCCGCTAATAAAGTTAGGCGAGATTCCAGTCGCGACATTTGTTGTTTAGACGAATTTCGAAAACGGTGCAAATTATCATACTCATTACTCAAATATTCCAGACTTTTGACTGATTCTTTATCCAGCGCTGAACTTGCCATTGCGGCGTTTGTAGTGCTCTTGGTTTCACTGGATTTAACATCCTGTACAAGCTTCTTGAAATCGTTCTTGATTGATTCGATTTCAACCCCTAACCCGTCGTTTTCTTTCTTTAAAGATTTTATAGTGTCCTTTGACATTTTAGTAGATTTTGAGCTAAAGGTGAAGAGCACAGAAACACGCGTCCGTACTCACTCGAGCACACCGCCAGTAACCTTGTCCTCACCGCAAGGAACCTTGTCCTCACCGCCAGTAACCTTGTCCTCACCGCCAGAAACCTTGTCGTCACAGTCAGAAACCTTGTCCTCACCACCAGAAACCTTGTCCTCACCGCCAGGAATCTTGTCCTCACCGCCAAGAACCTTGTCCTCACCGCTAGAAACTTTGTCCTTACCGTCAGAAACATTGTCCTCAACGCCAGGAACCTTGTCCATACCTCCAGGAACGTTATCCTCACCGCCAAGAACCTTGTTTTCACCGCCAGTAAGCATGTCCTCACCGCCACGAATATTGTCCTTACCGCCAGAGACCTTGTCCTCAAAGCCAGGAATCTTGTCCTCACCTCCCCAGGAACCTTGTCCTCACCGCAAGGAACATTGTCCTCACCGCCAGTAACATTGTTCTCACCTCCAGGAACCTTGTCCTCACCGCCAAAAACCTTGTTCTCACCGCCAGTAAGCATGTCCTCACCGCCACGAATATTGTCCTTACCGCCAGAGACCTTGTCCTCAAAGCCAGGAATCTTGTCCTCACCTCCAGGAACCTTGTCCTCACCGCAAGGAACATTGTCCTCACCGCCAGTAACATTGTTCTCACCTCCGGGAACCTTGTCCTCACCGCCAGCAACCTTGTCCTCACCGCTAGAAACCTTGTCCTCACCGTGTGAAACCTTGTCCTCACCGCCAGGAATCTTGTTCTCACCGACAGAAACCTTGTCCTCACCGCCAGGAACCTTGTCCTCACCGTCAGAAACCATGGCCTAACCGCCAGGAATCTTGTCCTCACCGCCAAGAACCTTGTCCTCACGACCAGGAACATTGTCCTCACCGTCAGTAACCTTGTGCTCACAGTCAGGAAGCTTGACCTCACCGCCAGGAACCTTGTCCTCACCGCCAGGGATATTGTCCTCACCGCCAGTAGCCTTGTCCTCCCTGCTAGGAACCTTGTCCTCACCGCCTGGAACCTTGTCCTCATCGCTAGAAACCTTTTCTTCACCGTCTGAAACCTTGTCCTCACCGCCTGAAACCTTGTCCTTACCGTCAGGAACCTTGTCCTCACCGCCAATAACCTTGTTCTCACCGCCGGGAACCTTGTCCTCACCGCTAGAAACCTTGTCCTCGCCGTCTGCAACCTTGTCCTCGCCGCCAGAAACCTTGTCCTTACCGGCAGGAACCTTGTCTTCACCGTCATGATCCTTGTCCTCACCGCCAAGAACCTTGTCGCCACCGCCAGGAACCTTGTCCTCACCGCCAAGAACCTTGTCCTCTCCGTCAGGAACCTTGTCCTCACAGGCAGGAAACTTATCCTCACCGCCAGAAGCCTTGTCCTCACAGGCAGAAACCTTGTCCTCACCGCCAGAAGCCTTGTCCTCACAGTCAGAAACGTTGTCTTCACCGCCAGGAACGTTGTCCTCAATCACCGCCGGGAACCTTGTCCTCACCGCCAGGAACCTTGTCCTCACCGTTAGGAATCTTGTCTTCACCGCCAAGAACCTTGTCCTCACCACCAGGAACATTGTCCTCACCGTCAGTAACCTTGTCCTCACCGTCAGGAACCTTGTCCTCGCCGCCAGGAACCTTGTCCTCACCGCTAGAAAGGTTGTGCTTACCGTCAGAAACATTATCCTCACCGCCAGTAACCTTGTTCTCACCGCCAGGAACCTTATTCTCACAGCCAGAAACCTTGTCTTCAGCGTGTGAAACCTTGTCCTCACCGCCAGGAACCTTGTCCTAACAGCCAGGATCCTTGTGCTCACCGCCAGGAACCTTGTCCTCACCACCAGGAACCTTGTCCTCACCGCCAGGAGCCTTGTACTCATCTGCAGGAACCTTGTCCTCACCGTCAGGAACCTTGTTGTCACCGCCAAGAACCTTGTCGTCACCGCCAGGAACCTTGTCGTCACCGCCAAGAACCTTGTCCTCACCGCCAGGAACCTTGTCCTCACAGCCAAGAACCCTGTCCTCACCGCCAGGAACCTTGTCCTCACAGCCTGAAACCTTGTTCTCACCGTCAGTAAACTTGTCCTCACAGCCAAGAACGTTTTCCTCACCGCCAGGAACCTTGTCCTCACCGTCAGGAGTCTTGTCCTCACCGCCAAGAACCTTGTCGTCACCGCCAAGAACCTGGTCCTCAAAGCCAGGAACCTTGTCCTCTCCGCCAGGAACCTTGTCCTCACCGCCAGGAACCTTGTCCTCACCGCCAGGAACCTTGTCCTCACAGCCTGAAACCTTGTCCTCACCGTCATGCAACCTTGTTCTCACAGCCAAGAACGTTGTCCTCACCGCCAGGAACCTTGTCCCCACCGCCAGGAACCTTGTCCCCACCGCCAGGAACCTTGTCCTCACCCCCAGGAACATTGTCTTCACCGCCAATAACCTTGTTCTCAACGCCAGGAACCTTGTCCTTACCGTTAGAAACCTTGTCCTCACCGTGTGAAACCTTGTCCTCACCGTGTGAAACCTTGTCCTCAACGCCAGGAACGTTGTCGTCACCGCCAGGAACCTTGTCCTCACTGCCAAGAACCTTGTCTTCACCGCCAGGAAGCTTGTGCTCACCGCCAGGAACATTCTCCTCACCGCGAGGAACCTTGTCCTCATCGCCAGGAACATTGTCGTCACCGCCAGGAACCTTGTCCTCACCGCTAGAAACCTTGTCCTCAGCGTCTGAAACCTTGTCCTCACCGCCAGGAACCTTGTCCTATCCGCCAGAAACCTTGTGCTCACCGCCAGGAAGCTTGTCCTCACCGCCAGGATCCTTGTCCTCACCGCCAGGAACCTTGTCCTCATCTGCAGGAACCTTGTCCTCACCGTCAGGAACCTTGTTCTCACCGCCAAGAACCTTGTCGTCACCGCCAGGAACCTTGTCCTCACAGCCAAGAACCTTGTCCTCACCGCCAGGAACCTTGTCCTCACCGCCTGAAACCTTGTCCTC